GGGATCGTATTTCAAGATGGCAAACTTTTCCGCTTTGGAGAAAATAGGGGTCGTGTTCTTTGGGTGAGAAAATCTCGAAAAGTCAATAGTCAACCCTCCAAAAATGAAAAGAATATGAAACATTAATCATCATTTTTCTGTGCAGCTTGAATACCTGTAAGAGTTCTAGGTATTTTTAAAAGAATTTTGAAGTATGCGCATTTAGCACAAGTGTCTATGAGACTTTTTTGCAGGGTTGCACCCTGCATTGACCAGAGGCAAGCTTTTTTATCCCACAAAATCGGTCCTACATGGATAATTGCATTGTATGGCACAATACATGTGCATTATAATGAATAACACAACTCAGTGAAAGGAGTCATTGATGTAGTCTAGTGGATACTACATGAATTGTCATTGCTTTTCTTTTCATTCAATATTTGTGTAATTTCGTTCACTTAAATAGTTTTTTACAGTAATTTAGGGCATTTTTCTTTTGTAGTATGGAAATGTGGTTTGGAGAATTTTGTTTCTCAAAGGAAAAAAAACTATCGATTATTTATGTGCATAAAAGTAGTAAAGATCTGGAGATTTTTCCTTTAAACGGAGGAGCACAATTTTCAAAGTGAGAGACCTTAAATTGGAGATAATCTAAAGAAAAAAAATGATAAGGGTACAATAAAAAAAAAATTACGTCTTTTTAAGTTGTGCGTTAACCTTTTTTATGGATATGACCTTTCATCAGGAGTGAGGATTTGTTTTGGAATATACAGAGGAGAAGGGAATCTGTAGTGGCGAAAATGTGTAGGTACACGTTGACCTTTGGGCTATTTTTGCCCTTCTGGTAGCTACTTCGAAGCAACCTTATGACCCAAAATTAATATGGACAGTCCCACTAAAAATATTAAAGCCACTGACGACTTTTGGGTATTCTGAATATTGATAACAGTAGTAATTGTATTTTAAATATTGATAACAGAAATAATTAAACGCAATTGACACATTTTAAAATTAAATTGGCCTTTTAATTCTTGCCAATAAGATCAATTAGAGTAAATATACAAATCATCCACTTTAAATATCACTATCATCAACATCCACATTATCATCGCTGTATCATAATCGGGTTAGGGTACACGTCACAAAATGGCAGAAATCAGTCGTCCACTTCGCCAAAAAAAAAACAATTTCTTTTTTGACTCATACGTGGTGCTGGTTCCGACGCGGCGAAGCTAAAAGAAAGTTGTTTAATAAGTACGCGATCGCCTGCCGCAAGAGGGCGCTGCCTACGGCACGCAAAAAAAAAAATCCAAATTATCACCAAACAGAGAGGGCTACAACGCTATGTCAATAAAGATATTTGTTGTCTAATATTCTAAAAGAGATGTCTCTATCTCGCAAATAGAGGTCTTTTTTGTTTCTGGTCTCCGATGCTGTTTCAAGTGAACATCATTTGACACGTCTGGAAATAGATAGTTTATTAAAAATAAAGATATTATTATTAGATGATTTGATTTCGGGTATTGCATTTAACATTTGTGCGTCATCATGTCAAGATGAATCACTTTTACCCACGAACCGTGGGCAAAACAAGCGGGTAGAAACGAGGGGCGGACAGACAATTCTGGCAATTTGGATGATTCAGCTAATTTGTTATAGATTTGGGCACAGCGTTCCGCCGCCTTTACAAAGAACACCATAAAAAGAAAAGAAAAGGGCAAATATATAATCGAATCATACGCAATACAAAACTACTGACCAGACAAACTAACAATTTCAAATGTCTCGCGCTGCGAATTTGCCCACCATCTCCCACAATGCATTAAGCAAAATGAATTCTCTGTGGCAAAGTCTTGGTGGCGCACTGCAATGTACATCGCCCGATTGACCTATCGCCGTTTGCAAGTTAGCTACTCCTCTTAGACAGCCCTACGGAATTTTGTACGTCAACTTTTGTTGGACTCAGATTCTGCGTGGAGATATTTTCAGAATTTTTCAAGGTATTTTTGCGCGCGCACTGCAGTTGCAATCCAAAGATAACTTAATAATGTCATTACACAACCGAGTAAATCCGGCGTAATCGACCATCTAAATACAATGTAGGTCAGACGTATCCCATCGTCGGACACAATGGGTCGGACATAATCGCCGTCGGACATAATGGGTCGGGCATAATCGGCCATCGGACACAATGTGTCGGACATAATGGGTCGGACATAATCGGCCGTTGGACACAATGGGTCGGACATAATCGGCCGTTGGACACAATGGGTCGGACATAATCGGCCGTCGGACACAATGGGTCAGACATAATCGGCCGTCGGACATAATGGGTCGGACATAATCGGTTGTCGGACATAATCGGTTGTCGGACATAATGGGTCGGACATAATCGGCTATCGGACACAATGGGTCGGACATAATCGGCTGTCGGACAAATGGGTCGGACACAATTGGGCGTCGCTCGTCAAAATCTGTTGTCGGACGTAATCGACCAAACGGACATAATGGTCGTGAACAGTCGTCGCTCGTCAAAATCTGTTGTAGGACGTATTCGACCAAACGGGCATAATGGTCGTGAACACACGTAGGTTACTTTATATACATTCACTACAAAACTTCCCACCAATTGACGTTCATTGACCATTATTGTTGTTTTCTATAACGTCATCGACGGAAAGAGGCCATTCTGGGGTTTAAAAAAAATCACGGTTATTGAATTAAATCTTTAGATTAAAACAAGGATATTTTCACTCCGAACTTCACTGCCTGTTTGCACCTCCAACGTGTCGTCGTGCCTTCATTTTCCCAAAGATAATCCTGAGTATGAGCATGGAGCTGTAATGGTATCACTTAACTGCTACATGGTCGTATTATGTATACATGTGCTATGGTCCTTCAGGAGTTTTGATCATTGCTTTCCCCAAGCCCCATTACCTCGTCCGCGTGGCATCGATCAGTACGCTCCCACTTTCTGCTCTCTTGCCGAGGTACTGGATTACTACATGTTCAAAAATCTTGCACATTGCAACTAGTTATTGCAATTAGATGCTTCGCCAAACTTTATTTATTAATTTATTATATTTCTTTACACAGGGTATGCCCACACAGTTTAAAACTGGTCTTCGTCGGGGTCCTGCTACACTACAAATAACTACACACCTGAACAAATACAATACATTACAAATATAATACTACACAATGAAATGAAATGAAAATATATGGGATTACTGCAATGATTGTAAAGCAACTATTATAAATGGTGTACAACTTTAAATCAGTGTTTGTGTTACAGTATGTGATACCCGTTCAAAATGCAATATATAACTAGTACTATGATTACAAAATAGAAAGGGTGGGCTATTTTCTTAGGAGAATGGGACATATTAATTCGCAACGGAAGTCAAAACACGAAATACACGATGGAATTAAAATCGGAAAGTGTACGATATAAATCTACTTTTGACGCAAAGCTTCATAATCTTTTAATCTTGTGAGCATCCCGTCATGATGCTTGTAAAGCACGCGCTGGCGTGCAGTCTTTCGAATAAACTTCACTCATTCATATTAAATATATTCATGGACTGGCGTAACTCGAACTCAAAATAAATACTCATCTAACTGATCCAGCCAGTCTCCAGTTAGGGTTCAGGAGTCCTTAATATTTTATTTACAATTAAAATTGTATATTATTTATATTTTATTTTATATTTTATTTAATATTAAAGTTTATGCAAATTTATACAAACATTGCAAAAAAAGGTTCATTTGAAAGATTGAATTTGTTTCCACGGCAATATTACATTTTTTTCAAAGTGAAGCCTAGTTGCCATAACAAATCAACACAGTATTACTTCTTCCTACTCAGATTCAAGACGTTTGGAATTTAACCAAATACATACATATAATTTATTACTTCTTCCCACTCAGATTTAAGATTATGTTTTATTTTAAAAAAAATTTAACACTTCCTCTGACGTACCAGAAAAATCTAAATATTAATGATACATAATTATTTTAATATAACCTTCGTAACAACTCAGAACACAACATAAAACTGTTTGATAGAATCATATAACATTTCCAGGAATAAGCCGAGATAATTACGGTGATAGACAGATAGAACCAGTGTTTGTGTGCTGGGAAAACACGCCAAACAAGTACAAAAAAGCGGAGCTTCTGAACCCAAAAGAGAGAAGAACAGGGGAAAAACGGTTGGTAGTGGGTAAAATTTCATCGGCGAAAATGTTGCCTTTTCTCCAGTCAGTGGCATGGAATCCGGAATATCGTGACGCTACGTTACTGCGTGCTACTACGTGTAGTGGTAGAACCTTCCACCAATGACCGCCAGCTATTCACGCGTTCAGCGCGTGACGTTATCGTAAACAACCACATGAGGGATCTTCGCAAAATTTTCTCGGTGTCAGCGCGTACATAAGCCCGATTAAACTGCGCTTAATCATTATATTATTATATGAAATATAAAGAGAGCCGATCTTAACGTATTTAGCCACAAATAAATATTTACATTAATCTGCATTTAATTTCTCCGGGTAACGTTAAGAAATATTAAACAAATGTGTTCTGGAGATTCAGGATTCAGGAACTCAAACCCGAAAAATTATATTTCATATTTCAAAAAATGTGTAGCACAGAAAATAATAACGAATAGAAAGCCAATTTTATAAGCTACTGTTAGATGGGAAAAAAACAACTGAAATGGCTGAATCCGTTCAAAGAATATGACCATTTCAACACAATGACCCTAAAACCTGCCTCGTCCCAAAAAAAATGCGATTGCAAGAATCGTCGTCACAATTGTCTTTTAACTTCACCAGCGATAAAACCTCAACTTAAAGTTAAAAATATTCAACAAAGTCTTTAAAGGCCCGTCTTAGATATAAAAAAAAAAATAGTGATATTTTTTTAACGGATTGAGCAATTTCAGAATTGTTTCAAAAAAAAGAGTAGCTTATGAAATTGACTTTCCAGTCATTATTAATGTTGGTGCTACATATTTTTGTAAATATGAAATATATTGTTTGAGGTTTGGGTTCCGCTTTTTTGACTCACTCCGTATTTTAGCTTTTTTTCCGGCTCACTACAAATGTGTTTCACTCTCGGGACAGGAGTGGGCACATTTACAAGCGACGACGGTATCTGCTACCTGGTTCTTGTTCTTGCCCTTGGTACGTAATGCCGAGGTAGTTTTGGTAGAACTGCTGCCGTTCGTGGAACAGCGAATTGAAACCACGCTGAATATTGTATACAGGTACGGATTGAGGGAGGAGTTGATGGGGAGAATGAAGACCACAGTCCAGGCGTACATGTGTGGTTGAATGGTAACGGCACCACTCTGAGAGAGAAGACCCATGACAATGACAGGCATCCAGCAACAGAAATCGGTCCCAACTATCACAGCCATCCTGAGCGCCATGTTTATTTCCTTCCTGTCGGCCTGATGAACTGTTGAGCCTCGGCTCCTCGAGCCTCGAACTCGTTGATAGGAATCTCGGACTTTGATAAAGATAAAGACATAACAAAGGGCGACGGTTAGGAAGCAGAGCAAATTCACGCCGAGGAAGAGTACGATGGAGTAGACCCAAGCTGGCCTGTGATCCTGGGGGATTGGAATTTTAAAACTCTGGCTACCAAGTGGGTTACCGATGTCATCTTCTTTGAGAGCGTAACTGGCGGGTTTAGTTATGAGAGGAAGGCCGATACAGACGTCGGATAGACCGTAAATATCAGAATTTGTGTCCGAACCAATTAGAATTGTCGGTAGGCTGCTTAATACAAACGCTACTACCCAAATAATTAAGGCAGCACGTCGAGCTTTTGACTTGGCTAACCGAACTCTCCCATGAGGGAAACCTATGCATAAAATCCGGTCCAGACTTATGAGTGTAATGAAGAACACGCTTGCTTCACTGGACAAAACTGACATGACACCAGCAAGCTTACAGACAACACTCAGTCTCCATTCGGAAGCTACCATATAGTACGCTTCACCGAAAGAGACATCAGCTGCAGCGATTATCACCATGTATATTCCCATCAGAAAATCGGAAACGGCCAAGTTCAAAATGAGGAAATTGTTTACGTATTTGGTACCGTGACCAAGATTTCCGTTCACTGATGTCCAGGACCGCCAAACAACTACTCCTAGATTACCGATGACAGCGCTCAGACCCAGGAACCACATGGAAACCCGTAGAAATGTGTTCTGCATGAGACTTCCGCAATTGAAAAGGGGCGACTGTTGTTCGGTGGTGAAACAATTGTCAACGTCGAATGTTTCGCGTTTTCGGAACTCGCAGCACAGTCGATGGTCATCGAGATATCTACGTACAAGTTGACAGAGAAATTGTTATATTATTAGAGTAACTTGGTCACTGAATCTATGTTATTCGTGTTGCACAGTTTGTCCGATTCGCGAAAAAAATCGCAAATACTTACAATGTTTGAAGGTTTGTTAGGTCCAGAACAGCAGAAGGGTGAATATTTACAGGTTCATCCTGAGCATGCGCAAACCTTCCGCGAATCAACACTCTAGAAGGAAATAATACAACCCCGTTTGACTTAATAAAACAAACTCATTACCGATAATAAGTTACTCAAATGGGAATTTTCAATTACATTTTACAATCACATAATTAAGGGGACGCGATTCTGTTTCCACGTGTGTGCTTTCTTATGGTATCGTTAAATTTAAGGAAGGGATGGCTGGCCTTGGGAGACGCTCACGCCTCTACTTCCTGCAGTTCATCATTAAACTTTATAAAACCGACATACAGATCCTTGTCATTTAATTGGTGGAACTCACATCAAGTGACATTTGTTATTACTCTCATTCACCGACGGGGCTCAAAAGGTCCCATTTGCTCATGGGGAATGGGAAATACTATCGAAAAATAAGGATCATTCTTATTCCATGACGCGGTATTTGTGGGCAAATGCATGTTGGTGTGCGCGTTCAGCGTTCCGCGTAGCGTGTATTATTCCAAAGAGCCAGCGCTACAGAGTTGGGTTCAAACGTTTTCGCTAAGGGGTGGTTTAGAAGAGAGTTAACACATTTTCCACCAATTTTGTATTGAAATAAAAGATCAAGTATATCAAATGACAAGTATTTATATGTCAGTTATATAAAACAAATATTGAGTGACTTCGAACTGTGAAATCGGAGGAATATTATTGCTCGGTAAAATCTGGACTTTTCCAGTTCACTCGGCTTCAATCGCCTCGTGAACTCCAAAAGTCAAGATTTTACCTTGCGATAATATTTCTCCACTTGTACTCTGAGCCACTCAATATTTGTATAATATTGCAGCAGCAGTGACTACCTATAAGTAATTGAAGGAACCAGCAACTTGGCCAATTTGAAAAGCGAAGTAGTGAACTGGTCAGGTCACCAAGTTGATATTTTGGTACCGAAGTGAATACATCACGCGCACAAAATGTGTGTAAAAGTCATAAGCGCGTGATTCAGCCACTGATCTCTATATAAAGACTGGATAGCTAATACAGAGCCGCACAATGTACGAATTTGACGCCATATTGGTGAGACCGGCTGGTGATCTACAAAGGACAAGTTGCCGTTTTTATAGACAGCATGATTTATTTTGTAACGTCGCGGTTCACTTGACTTATATTTTGACCACCACCACTGACCAAGGTTAACTACAGTTTTTCTAATGTCGTGGTTATTAAAATGCCGCAAATATCACTTTTTCGGCGTTTTGAAATAATAATCACTACGGAAATGTGTCCCTTTTAGAACATCATAATATGTGTACGTGACCAAAATGCGCGTATTTACGCGTAGAACGTTCGTGTTATACGCGGCCATCTTTGTGAGACCGGGGGCGAATTGGTCAATATGCAAAGTCTACTGTGTGAATGTTGTATGCATATCCGCTATCCAGTCTTTATATAGAGATCAGTGGATTCAGCCCGTGAACCAACACGCGCGCGTACTAGCACGTTTGTACTGCACTTCCTGGTTCTAAATGACGTCACACTTAATTCGGTACGCTAAAGAGGTGCTGTTTAAGTATGTTTGCATATGCCTTTACATGAGTACACAAGCAAAATTACACCCGTTCCTGTATGTTATGTTTTGTTGAATTATAACGTAAATTGGGTGTTTGGAGCGCAGTTGTAAGTGCTACACAGTGGTGACATTCCTGCAATCTAGGTAATTCTGCTAAAATGGGTATACACAGGGAACATTTAATCGGGGACGCCTTTTGAGTGTTGGATGGAGAGCAAATGGCCTCCTTCCCGGTATCGCCGTTCATGGTCTATTACAATTAAATGAACCTTGAATACTTACAATGTTCGTAACTCCTGCAGTCCGTTGAATGCAGATTCCTCAATGGTTAACAGGGGAACGTGAGATATGACTCTGAAAAAAATAAAAGAACACAGGGACTGAGGAAGATATGATTAGTTTCTTTGTAAACGAAGTATTGGTATATAGCCTTTCATGCAGAAAGACAACTCAGCATTTGAATTAAATCAAATAAAAGCTCGAGACATACCGTATATTGCAATTTCATCAAAGGCATGATACCTATCATTTCAGAACAAATAGCTCCATGTAAACCATACGGAGAACATGGAATTATAGTTTTATTTGGCTGAGAGGACAGCACGGAACTAGCAACTTCAACATTGTTTTCTATTTAACAGTTGGAGCTAAGTGAACCACACTATAACAGTAAGGTTCAAATGTCTGCAGAACTGCAAATATAAGCAACAATGAAATGAAGAATAATGGTGGAAAATGTAAAGGATAAAACGCGAGGAACATTGTTTTGGCTGCCCCCCCCCCCCCCCAATAGTCTACGTGGTCTATTACGCGCGAACAGATTTGCTGATTAATTAGGCAAGACCCCGTCTCTTGACTTCCTAGATTTAGACCAATCAGCAGGCGCTTTCTATAGGCCTATCGGGTCTTCGGTCATTCACCCGTTGCGCGTCATAGACATAGATTTAAAAAAACTGTCACAGCGCGCGGCGCTCGGTATCATGTTACGCGAATGCGCTCCCGGCTGTTGTTGTATTACAAAACACTGCATTCGAATTGACCAATCACAGCGTTAGTCTTGATTTGGGAATGAAATGGCGTCGCAATTTAGTAAGATCGACTCCGATTGGCTGGCACGCGGCTTGCATAAATTTGCATTTCGGGATATGTCATAACGTTCGACGGAAAGAGATAGGGCTCCGTGGAGTACGCGTGATACTTAGACTATTCCCCCCCCCCCCCCCCGCCCAAAAAGGTAATTTGTTTTCATCAATTATAAAAAAAAACACCAATTTCCATATTCCTATTCATATCTCATAAAAAGGGGCACTTAAAAAGATGCATATTAAAAACAAGATTAAAAACCAAACTGTTTCGCTTTTTTTACCCACGTGTTTAAAGTGGCAATAAAAGCCACCCATTAAAAGGTCTTCTTTTGAAACATTTTAGTACACTTTGTTTTCATGCAAAAATATATGATATTAATAATATGATGTGATGTTAAATCACTTATATTTAATACAAATTAAAGGTTTCTTTAGTTTAAAAATGCATAAATACAATTCCATTGTTTTGGTGTTATAAAAATAACCTAATTGAAATTACCAAAGTTGTCTTTGTTAAGGGTTGATTTCGAAATCATAGTGGCCCCTTATAAAAGTATAAGCCTCGAAAAGTTTGGGAGCTATTGTAACAATAACTGTTTGGGCCATTGTCCTCCGAATCCGTCAAAATGCAAGAAAAAAGAACAACAACACAGGATTCCCAACTTCTGAAGAAACTCTCATATATGCAGCAAGAAGAACTCTGCGATTAACCTGCCACACTGCTACCAGTACCACAACTGATCATTCCCAGCATAGACAAGCACAGCTTCACAAAATCTATTACAATGTCACAACTTTACCCAACCCTGGAATCTTGCCAAGCCCTAGCGGCGTGAGTGAACAAGAGAAAAACCCTATTTATATACAGAGCCTATTTCCGGAGCGCGCGCCATCCAGACCTAAAACCAGATGGGGTGGGCGCCGCCGAAGTTAGACCCTACGCCGGTGTCCCAGAGCAACGGCATTGACTAGAAAAGTGCTGCATAATCTGTTCGTTACACTATTATTGAAATATAATAAATAACGGGGAAGGGGAATGTATGCCTCTAGTCCTGATGTGTTACAGACAATGTATCTGGAAAAAATCGCACTTACATCCCTTGCAACTTGTGTAAACCCTGGAAGGCATTACTTTCCAAAGTGGTGAAATCATTCAGTGATATGTTCCTGCGAAGGTGATGAAAAAGTAACAAACTTTCTATAAACTTAATGAAGGCACAAAGCGATTTGGTATCTTGGTATCCTGCTTTAACACGTATTAACTCAAGGGGACTGCACTAAAGGCAAACAAAATTTAATCAAAGACCAACTACAAATTCTACAATTGTCAGGGATGAGGTTAACTGAGGAATTTCATTTTCAAATATTTCCATGTAGTATGATGGCTACAACATGAGAAAATGACCGCAATGTAGGCCTATCAATGTAGGGTTGATAAAAGCATCGCATTTAAATAGACCTACAACCAAAGCAGATTCTGCAAGCCGTCGAAAGACCAATGTGGTATCCTTTGGATGTGATTGTCGGTGAGGTACCTGCAAAGCATATACCATAAAATGTATTAGTGAAAATAGAAGGAAAAAAAGGAACAAAAAATTTAATTCATAACGAGAACAACTTTGCCAAAGACAAAATGTTTTTTTAGTTCAGGGAATAAGTGAATTCTCACACCATTCATGTTTCTGATTGATAGTGAAATACTTGCTTTCTACTAGTATACTAAATGTCTTCGTTTGGTTGTGTCAACATTAAAGAAGCATTTTTTTATTAAAACTATTTTCATGATTTTTTTTACAGATGGATTCGTAACCATGCTGGAATTTCGTGCCTCCCTTCATAGTGTTTCACTACAATGTCTACTTTTTGTTGACCAAATCCATTCCACTGATATCAGGGGATTCCAGTCGGGTTTTCGATCATTGTTTAAGTGCTTGCAAATTCTACTCAGAATAGGAAATGCAATCACAAACGTTAGAAAATAATACTGAATACCCAATTTGCTCCATTTCAATGATAATACCTAAAGTTACTCCATAAAAAAGCTCATTCTGACTTTGTTTGCACTCAATGGGATATCTTCAATGCCGCAGCTACACACAAGAAACAATTGCACTACTTACAGAGCTTGAAGCTTGAAGAACCGTTTAAACAGGCCGGGCTCAAGGACGTTAATAAACCCAGAAGACAGCTCACTGATGGAAAAGAAGTGACATAAGTCACCGTTTTTGAATAACAGTCGCAAAATACCAACAGCAACATGAGTTCTATGTAATTTGATCGACTAAAGGGAAAACTGTACAGTGATATAAATGTCGCTGTCGGTTTTGTGGAGTAACTAAGGGGGCACGCCCCCTCCTTAAAAGTCGATGCCCCTTCCCTTGCACCCTCTATCAGAATGAAACTAAAACAAACAAGGGACGTTAGTTGTTAGAAACACATCGAGTGCCCTTCCAGAAAATTTCTCGGGAATATTAGAAATTAAAACCATATTTGATTCCAAGAAAGTGTGCGATGAAATTAATAATTGTTCTAGGAAATTTGTGTTAAGGAAACCTATACCTTGCTTCAATTTGGCTGAATAACTCACAGCCGTGTTTAAGCTGTAAACAATTTTTGAGAAGTTTGTAGATCTTTTCTATGCAATATTGATTCATGTATTATGTAAAACGCACTTACAGCACTTCGGTAGTGGCTGCCATGTTTCCAAGTGTGTCCGTCGACCATCCCGACTGACAAATGACATAGAGTGCGTTATCCTTGTAATAACATTTACAGCCACTTGGACAACGATTTACATCTAAAACGAAAACACAAACAAATCATAAACTAATCCAATTTAGGGAAAGATAAGAAGAACCCTTTTAGGATACACATACAATGTATCGATAATCAAAATGCCCTTTGAATGTTACTGATCACACATGTTTTCACAGTAGTTGTTTGATTTCCCACAACTAGCTGCAAAACGTCTGAGAAAATTCCAAGACAAATGTTTTGATAAAGTGCAGTGAGGGCTACATACCACAGCGAATCTCGTCATCACCGAGCAAGCAATCATCGGTTCCATCACAGACTTTATCCCATAATATACATTCCCTGCTTCTACTACATTGGAAGAACCCAGAACAATCGATTGTGTCTGGAAACAAACAAAATGGTGGGGAGATAATCAGGTTGATTTTAACTACTCAGTAACATGGCTTCTGTCCGCTCAGGTTCGTCAGAAGTACAGGCTGTCTCAGCAGTAAAGTATACCAAACATTTAATGTAAATTATCAGAAATGTACTGAATACTTCAGATATAGCCAACTACTATAGAAAAGGTAAGGATGTCATCTATCCAATGGTATTAATTAAATTACGTCATTGTCAAGCAATTAGGTCATTGGTAACAAACTCGCTGTGGAGGAGGCGTGGCGCCCCGGGCAGTATATGAGTCCGTCCCAATCACTAAGGAAAGAGATATGGGCAGTTCCTACTAACACAGGTTCGTCCTTTGTTTACGTCAGCACCCTGCCACGTAGTTTGTCTGTTGTGCTCAGGTTTATATCCAATTCGACGCCATCAGCCTTTCTTGTGCCGTGAGAAAGGTTGTTTAAATATGTGGCAAAAGGCAGACAAATGTGATCATTTCCTGTTACATATGAATGTGGACCTGCAGGGACGCCTAATGTGGGCATACCTGGATATAGTAACTTTAGTCTATGGCAAAACTTACAGCATTGCTGCTCGTCGAATCCAAAGGCACAGTCCTTGAAACCATTACAAACCCCATCTGGTGCTATGCAGATTGTTGTATTTTCACACAGTAGATCCAAATCACCGGAACAATCACCCAGCGGAACTGACCAGTGAAAACAAAAACATGAGTTATATCGGAAATCCGAAAATACCTCCGAAACGCTTCGGCTGATCGGTTTGAAAGAATTTGATCGTGTATGATAGGATGACGCCAAAACCAATGTTATGGGATGCCACTGTTATAACTAGTAGACTATTCTATTCTGGTAAAAGGCTTACATTTTGCATGAATTTTTTTTTTTTAATTCATATTTTTTTTTCCTAGGAATTGTATGCAAAACTCGTTTTTAAACCTTTGAAATAACTTCCTGAGTAAAATATAAGTTGAAAGAAAGCGGGAGGATTGTGTTTTTGTAGAATGATTAAGCAATAAATTTTACCCATTACCTGTTTGCGGAGGGGGGGGGGCCGAGGAAAATAATACGACCGATTTCAAAATTTGTTATAGCAATCTACATAATAAACTTTCGTACAGGTGTCAGTATGGGACTGCAACGTACACCTCTTGTCTTCAACCTCCTAGACACATCCTTGCTAACGTATAAGGTAGCTTGGGGGAAGAAGGTATACTTACAATATTTAAATGCTTCAACCGTCATTTGGAATCCTTTTTTCGTAATTGACCAGTCGGTGGTTAGGGTGACGTTAACCGTAGATATCTGTGAGGTTACCGTAGTGATGTGTGTTGTTCCGGTTATGATTATACTGTTAGTGGAACCTTCAGCAATATCGCCGAGATACAGTCCCGGTCCTCCTATTCTGACCTTATCGTATTTCGATTCGGTCTGGAAATCCAAGATGGTCACGACAATGGCTGAAAACTCCCGTGAAGCTTGAAATTCCCACACACAGTTCACGTCGTTGGGGTAGTCGTTAGGGTAATTCGGAGAAGTCAAAGTGTGTGGAATATTCTCACCCAGGTGCATTTTCCTCTTTCCGCAGATATCTGGTGCAAAGAGACAGTCATAAGAAATAAAATATTGTAATTTATTTATTTTTATTTTTTTAATTTTCTGCATAGTTGTAGAAAAACAAAGCTTTGGTATTTCCTCTGATTTTGTGTCGCTGTTCCGCATGTAGTTACAGAAAAGCCTTCGTTTTTGTTTCGATTGCTTAAAAGCGGGAAAGTCCTTGTTTTGTCTTGTTTTTTCTTTCTTTCTTTCTTTCTTTTCCTTTTTTTTTTCTCTTTTGGGACCAAAATCCCAAAACTCTGTATACGTTTGATTCTACCCTTCAATTTTGGCATAAAACAAACTCATATCCCAACAAATTAACATGGGCAAATACATTATAAGTAAGACCAACCTTTGGAAGAGTGACGTCATGATGGCTCATCATGGGTTTAGTGACGTCATCATAAAGGTTCATACTTTAAAGCCATTATATGGAGATAACTATACGTCCGATCGGGTTGAAACGTCAGATTGGGTTAAAATTAAGGTGATGTCATTATGACTTCATATTGTGATTTTAAGTAGATTTTAAAGATTTTAAGATTATCACCATGTCTCTCGAACCGTAGGCCTATATACAAAATTCAAAATTGTTTTTGTATTAGGTTTTCTAGAATTATGCACAAAATTTTACAAAATATGCGGTCATAATGACGTCTTCAAAACTGCCATTTTTCGAAACCCGTATTCGGGCAAGTCTGATTGTCGTGAATCCTGGCGGGTAGGTAGATACTGTTACTTATATACAAAATCCGAAGTAACTTTTTGAACATTTTACACGTTTTGTACTAGCAACATTTGACCAAAAATGCAATCAGTTTGACTTCAAGATACCAAAGTAAGGTTGGCCCAAGAAAAGTGATGTCGAATTGATGTCATCAGTGGTGTTATGACGTCATCTTAAAGGTTTATGTTTTAAGATTAGATATCTGGAAAAATGTAAGTCCGACTGAGTTGGAACGTATTATGTTCGTAGACAGGGACGTGTTAAAGACAAATACAAATTAAAATGAGTTACGTCATTTTGACATCATACTGTATCATGAGACGTCATTCTAAAGGTGCAACAATTATTTTAAAGGCCCAAGTTTGGAGAACTACAATGCAGCTTAATATGTCATGGAACTATGTTCTTGCATATAATTTACCTGACTGAATATGAACGGAAACAAAACATAAACTCATAAAAAGACAATGCGGAAAAGCCCTATTATGTTCTGTCCATCCATCAGACAAAGATTTGGTTTTTTTTTGTTTTTTTTTTGTTTACCTGATCCCAAAGACTTTGTGCATGTTTTATCCCAGCCTCCACTTTTGACATAAAACAAAGTCATATAGGCAAAGACATTATAAGTAAAACCTATGTAGAAGAGTGAGGTCATGCTGATGTCATCATGGGTCACGCGACGTTATCTTAAATGTGCATATTTTAAAGTCCTTTATCTTCTGAACTGCAAGTCTGATTAGCTTGAACCTTCATATTTATGTGATTTTATAAAGTTAATTTTGTCATTTTAAGGTCAATGCAAAATGTTCATATATATGAGCAACATTTGGAAAAGAAGTTGCCAGAATTTGGGATACTCTTCTGTTGTATATATTTTCTTTGGTGATTAGTTGCGTTAGTACATGGTTGGAGGTCATTTCAATAAGTAAATGTTTGGGTTCACAACTTTAATAGAAAATCCTTTAACTGAACAGTGTCTTCCTGAAACGACATAACAGCAATAACGCCCTCAGTTGTCCAGAGAGTGGGACAATATTTTGTGTGTCTAAAAAAGTCGAGTTTTTATCAAATTAACCAAAAAGGAAAGTCAAATTGTTTTCATACAATTAAAAGAAACAAAAGGTTGCACCGAATGAGTTCCATAAAAAACTTCATTGCATTTGGAATTTAAAAAGTAAATTATATGTTTAAGGAAGATGATGTCAAACAGGAGCTGACAAGAGAAAACGTCGTTTCTTGTCGGATTCATCGTTGGTCTCACATCTTAAACAGAATTACATCAATGGCCTTGTTATCAGTTTTGTGGCTCCAATTTAAGGTACACGTACTCACCATCCCCACAGAGATACGATTTCTGATACTCGCTAGCGTTTTCTGTTACACACAGAGTATCAGGTTCGCCGCACATCGTCTGACCATCGTCACAGGTCACTGAAATTAATAGGATTGTGTTTTTTATATCACTCCAAAGGGCGGCTGACGTTCCGATCTTTACAATGCTCCTCCTCCCAAAAAAAGGATAAACGATGCTGGAAGGAATTCACAATGCATTTGTATTGTGGTAGCGTTAGTGTACAAGTGTATGCATGCGTGGCAATGGTTGACACAGTCCCATAGGTACCGTACATGCATGCGTTTTGCACGGTGTCATTGTGCGTGCTTACCTGGGTGATATGCACGTGTTGATTGTAAGAGCTAGAGTTGAGCCGCGACAGCGAGCAGATCGGAAGTAGGTTAACTTGTGCTCTGTGTTTGCCCAATGATTATGCGCGATTTGTACAATGTCGTATGAGCTATGCTAAGTTACGCTGGCATGTATAGCTGATGTGTTGCAAGTACAAAGTTGCCATATATGTACGTCGCTGATGCTGGACAGTACACGGTTTATGCGTTGGGAGTACAAGGACGTAGTGTTGTACATTGTTTATCATGTTGTACATTGCTGATGTGTTGTACATTAATTGCTGATGTGCGTTGCTGCTGTGAGCAGTATATGCTTGGATTACCTCCCCAATAATTAAAATGACCCTGGTAATAAAATAGCCACCCAAATTATAGCATTATAATTCCAATAACTGCATTTATTGATTGTTGTTGAAAACATTATCATTGTTGATTGAGGTTACCGACAATTTTGTTTCAGATGTCTTTGTTACAGGTTTATTGTGCAATTAAAGGGAATGTTTAACATTAGCTTTCGCTGTAATTTTTAGAAATAAATGAATTTGGAGGTTCAGTATGTTATAGCAAATTATAACATATTTTAAAATGACTTGTTTCACGTTTTGGGCTTGTAGATAGTGAAAAAAACCAAGAAAACAAATCATGTTCTTGTAGTCTGGTTTCCTGACCCCATTTAAAATGAATCGGAGCAATTTATAAACTTTAGGGAATTGTAAGGTCAGAAAATCAGTCTAGAAGGCTTTCAAAGAAATTGTGGAATAGCTAATTAGCTAATAAGGAAAAATTAGGAGCACCTTTTGAGAAAAAGTCTGTTTTCTCCAATGTTAGATGGCCGACCAGCATTGGAAAAATACCATGTTTTCCTAAAATGTGAGCACACCAGGACCACGATTTTACAGGATGCTGTAGACTGCTGTCATTCCCTATCAATGCAGTAAGGTATTTCGTGTTAATTTGTTTATTTCGTTTTGTTAATTAAATTTTACAATCATTCACAATTGGCGGTATATTTTCATGAAAAACGGACCTGCAGCCTTAGCCTTGAGGTTGCTCTGAGTGGTCACTCGTCTAGGGAAGAGCCTTGGTGTCAGAAGATCATCTCCATCCTAATAGTTGTAAGATTTGGTCCTAATAGACTTGGGTTTGCCCGGGCAGTTCCCGCCTCAGTGTTGTGTTCTAGTGGAGTTGATGGAGATACTGCTCTTTGGCAGGCAAAGCTTTTCTTCAGTTATTAAATAGAACTGGTGATTTGTAATAACTCTTTTAAAATGAGTTTCGCACATACGAATTAAAAAAAAAACTGCTTTATTGTGCCTTTCCACCGATGGTAACTGACGGAATATCCGAGATATCCAAGTCATTTTTTTCCAGTTCAAGTCAAGTCCCAAGTCAAATTTTAGCAAGTCAAGTCAAGTTTCAAGTCAATTTTTTTCAAGTCAAGTCAAGTCTCGAGTCATTTTTTTTTTAATATTAAATGTATATACTACGTACGAGGAACCAGTGTATGTGTTCGACGACGGAGCCGGAGTAGAGATGGGAAAGTGGTTTATCAAAGCGTGAATCATGTAAGGAGATTTTTTTTTAAAAATCATAATTTTAAAAGCTCCTGTCCCAAACACCTTAATTGTATCTAAAGAGTCTAAAATGCATTTTGATATAACATTTTCAAACTTGTTCCATCATGTTGAATTTTGAAGGTCGTCTGACAAAATGTCTTTCTGAACATTTTCGTTTAAAGGGAATATACATCATTTGCTTTTGCTGTAATTTTCAGAAATGGATGGAATTGGGGGGTTGGAAATATATAGCAAATATAGCTACACTGACTTTGTTGAGGTTTTGGGTTCGAAAATGCTATAAAAACCAAGAAAAACAATCATTTTCCTGTAGTCTGGTTCCCTGACTCCATATAAGAAGAAACAGAGCAATTTACATACATTGGGGAATTGTAAGGTCAGGGAACCAGTCTAGCTGGCTCGTACCCGTTCATAGGTTTGTAATCGATTGAAAACAAGTGCGATGGTCAATTGGGGCCAGTATTTGAAAAAAAGCAAGTTTTTTCCAACGCTGATCGGCCGATCAGCGTTGGAAATTGATACAAAAATACAACTTTTCTTGAAAATGACAGTATACCAGGTGCCATGATTTTACAGGATGCTTTACACTGTCATTCACTAACAGTCCATCAAGGTATTTCAAAATGATTTGGTAGTTTTATTTTTTGATGTTTGCAAATGTTGTATTTTCCCTTTAATCCATGATGTGAATCTTTTTGCTTTATGGCGGATTGGGGGTAGCAGCCGTTTTCCAGTCGTTTAAACCCCAGTTGCATATGGCACGCTTACGGTAAACCACTCAATGTGTACGTGTAGCCTATAACAACGGATGTACTACGCACGGCACAAACGTCACCTCACAATTTTCGAGGTCGAGTATGATACGTTGTCCCACGGATTCTACACACAGGATCCGTGGTTGTCCATAAAACACGCGTAGTGCTAGTCATGTATGTGACGTGTGGCAGGCTCAGGATTCGCTATGTATATCTGCATTATTTTCAACCGATTATGCCAGTGCGCACGAACGCCCATTTGTTTTTGTTTTTTAACATTAAGAAACGTGTTAATATCAGCAAGTCAAATTTATTCCAGTCAAGTCAAGTCACAAGTCACATTTTTTCAAGTGAAGTCAAGTCTCAAGTCGTTTTTTCCCCAAGTCAAGTCTCGTCTCGAGTAAAAAAAAAATAGAGACTCGAGTCCGACTCGAGTCCGAGTGAGCGAATCGAGTCAACTACACTGCGGAATATGGTAAAAGAACGAAAGCAAATACCACCATTACAAACACGGGGGATGTTTTCATTTTGCGAAGAAGTGCAAGATGGAATTTCCACATGAAAGTGATTCCCAAACCCCCATACAATGCATCTAAAAAAATGCAAAGGAAAATCGAATACGAAATTCAGTAATGCTAACCTGTCTCCTGAGCCTCAATGCGAATCGAGAACCCGCTGTAAGTTGAGGGTGAAAGACCTGAAGTAAACTTGATCCACAAGTGTTTGTCTCGAGAAGCAACTGAGGCCAATCCTAGATCCTGACCCATGAGTTCCGATCCAATCCGGGAATTCACGTCGGTCGGATCAATGCCCCAGCCGAAGGTCACCGTATCGTAGTCTGTGCTCATCTGAAATGCCTCTATCTTTGCCAGTGCCCGATGACCGTCCGGAGCTTTCACCAACCACGAGCACGAGAGACTCTGAGGGTACGGCTGTGGGTATCCAGGAGAAGTGAGAATGCGGGACTGTGCAGAGTTGGCTTCTCGATATGAAAGGTCAATCAATGATCGACCACAGGGACCTCAGGAAGAATAAACCACAAGAACACCAAATAGCAAAGTAAGAACATGATAAATTCATATTTCCAATGCGACGATTTGATGTTTAAACAACATTGGTAGCTCCATCGAATCAATACCACCACAATTCTGTTCAATTCGATAGGTTAGATATCGTACGTCAGCAAGTTTTTGTCTATGTGAAGGACTTCATGGTTGTTTTCAAATGCCATGATTTACCAATAATTATAAAGGATTTGACTGGGGAGGGTTTAAGCATTATTTTGATGTATATGTATGTACTCATTGGCCCCATTGAAAACAGGTCATTACAATTCGTTGGGGATATCCTGATAAAATAAAGCAAAACACATTAAATAAAAGGAAATATTGCTTTACATCTGAGTACAGGGTTTGATAACTTTTGCCCACTTTGATCCCATTCCGGCCAACTCTACACATCAGCTGTATAATTCGAAGTGAATATCCACATGGTTTTTGGCATCTGATGTAGTAGTTGCTGCTACGAAAGCTTATGCAAACTTTCATTCCAGTTATAAAGTGCCACCTTACTTTTCCATATGGTTCTTGAGTTATGTCTTATAGTGTTCGCTTTGGCTGGATTCACCTCTTGCAGTGAACATATTCCCAAAATAAAAATTTGAATTCCGAGCTTCAAAATTTTAGTGTTTTTACAATATCCAATTTAATTGAGATTTAAGGATTGTTTTTGTAGATACACAATGTCTATTGAATGTCTGTTTAAAGTGATTTAAACATCTGTAGCTGTCTCGTCTCCCTTGATGTACTCGTAAAGTTTTCCCTTAGTTTCACTTCCGTTTAATGCGATGAATGTATAACAAGAGACATACCACACGCATCCACATCAGACCCGTCCGAGCAGTGTGATACATGGTCACAGAGGCTCGTCTCGTGAATGCATCTATCACCGGAAAGACACAGGAATTCGTTGGAGGTACAATTACCTGACAGTAAACAGAATGATTTCTATATTACATCATGAGGGAAAATGCATTACGTGGAAGTGCGTCTTCAAGAGACTTTTTTTTTCTTTCACTCTTTAATTTTCGGAATAATAACCATTAATGCTTCGAAAAGTAGCTTCAGTAGCCTTTTAAATGATGTTACTTTCTGTACTGGATCGAAAGTTACGACCGTGTAGAAACTAAGCTTAAGACATCACATTATTTCGGGTCGGTTTCTGCTCAGTTTAAACTTTCAGGCTGATCGTATTAAAGCTTCACATTTTGAACTTTGAAATTGTTTACCACATCCAATTTCGTCACTGTAGTCCAAACAGTCAACGTAACCATTACATACATGTTGTTGGCTAATACATTCTCCTGGTGCGCATGCGTGGTCGTTGTCTGTACATGCTGCAAAAACAAGTGATCAACGAATGGGATAAGTTTCATACAGTAAAATGTCACTCTCCGTTTGGTATACTGGAAGATAGTTGTACACTCAAACTGTTAAAACGATTAGGGCGTTTATTTATACACCGTATATGTTTTGACATCCAAAGTAGGGTCTTTCGGTGGGGTAAAAGAGGAAAAATAGTAAGAAAAAAATATGGTTGTTTACGTTCAGATGGCTAAATTAAATTATGCCAAGTACGTATTGAAGCTTTTTTCGTTAATTGTAATGAGTTTATCACTGGAAAAAAAATGGTAAAGCCATCTTTTGGCAAGATGTAATTGAAATATGTCGTGCAACTCAATATTTTAATGTAGTAGCAGTCATGACATACCACAGAAGGAAAACGGTAGACCACTGGTATGATGATAGACAACATCTTAACACCAGGGGATGCGTTTTGCTCTGAATAGAATCAGATATTATTTCCATTGCTTTCCAAATAGCACTAAGACTGCTTGCCTTACTTTGATATATTTATGTTTTCATTAATTTATTATTTGTGTTTGTTGTGGTGCAGATAGGGTCGGCGGTTAAAAGCGTTTTCATATACTTGAGTCGAGGGTACAAACAAATAATGGCCTCGATTAACTTCAAAATGACGTACCATCTTGTCTGATCTGTGACATTTCCAAAAGGATTGATTCGGAGTTAAAGACGTCCACCTGGTCATTCGCATAATCAGCGAATTTATACTTGATCCACATCAAAGGTCCCGATGATGTGACAACTTCCCGATATGAATTCTCCAGCAAGAAGCCGACGTTAAAAAGCCGCGTGGATTGGTCGGATATATTGTGGCCGTTGCCCATAGCTAGTTCCAGATTCGGATAATCAAGGGAGAACTGGGGGATACGGCGAAGGCGGACCGATATCTGGTGATCAGCTGATGCCGTCAGGAAGAACAGACAATCACCTGGATGTCTGCTGGCTGGCATCCAAGATAGTTGATGAATGTCCCCATCAGACAGGTCTATTGCTGGCGTGGTCACACAATGTCCTACCACAACAACAGGCTCGGATTAGATAGGATATGGCACATGTACCTAATTTGTTATTGAACATTTACCACCAACCAAGTACAAAAACTAGAAACTGTAATATTAGATTCCTCATTCGAATACAGTACAAACCTGTGGAATAGCATGACTCGGGTGGAATAGCCAGTCTCGGGCGGAATAGAACACTGGTACTAGCATGTGGGACTAATTTTATCTTATTTTATATTGAAAAACTTTGACATTATTTTTTTTTTTAAAGTGCCTTTTCGCTTTTGATCTAAACAATGACCGACAGAGACCGTTTTCCAAATGAATCATCGATATAAGCACATACCACACAGATACTCGTCGGTCATGTCTTGGCATTGTGCCAAACCATCACAAAGCAGTTTCTCCTCCACACATTTATGTACGTCACAGGTAAAGACATGAGGCTCACATTCATCTGTTGTTAGGAAAAAGGCAAAGAAAATATTTAAGCAAGCAGAACGGTAATTCTCGTTCCAGCTTTACAAATTTGGTAAATATAACCAATCATTGGTTGAAATAACCAATAGTTGGTTAATATGTGTCTAACAAATCGATTGGTTGAACACCTATTAACCCATTGTTGGTTATTTCAACCAATGATTGTATATGGGCAATCCACACTAATGGGCCCAAAAGTGAAGACCTTTAAGTTTTGATAATGAAACTATGATTTTGGTCTGTCAATTTTTGCTGTAAACATTGCAAGCTTCGAACAAATATCCTCACCTGCAAATGACAGAACTGGTTTTGTATTTTAGAAAATATATTGTTTTAAAAAGTGTTACGTATGTAACGAAGGACAGATATTTTAGATAAAGTCAAAAATATAAAGCATAAAATTTAATGATCCCTTAATATTGGCTAATTGAAGAAGATGTACCCTGGAGGATTGCTTTTCAGTCAAAACCTAGAAAAGTCGGAGTCACTGTGAAGAATTAGTTGATATTTTATAATCAGGATTATATACGTAAAAACAGACTGGACATTCGTCACAAAATGTCTGTCCCTGTTCGTATGTAACCCTAATCACATAATAAATTTGAAGCCAGTGTGAAAACTGTTATATTTTCGATTGATAACAATTTAAAATGATTTAGTCACTGGAACTGCCTATTAAAAACTGAATGTGTCCTAAGCACCCTTTTCCTTGCAGTGTGTCTGTTCACGTTAGATACGTATCACACAGAAAAGATGCCTATTATTATTTTTTTTTCAATAAAACAGATATCATCGTTTGTTTCGTCTTGTCCTAGTCACTTTCAACTTTGCAAGGTATAGGAAAAAACTAAAGAAAACACTAGCTCATCTTTTAATCTTTATATACAACATCTATAAAGTTATCTAATTGACCCATACGTGTGGAATTGCCCATATGTTAACCAATCTGTTTTAGAGTGATGTGCTTTGCAGTCTGAAGGTACTCTTGTTTTTGCTACTAACTCTTGTCTACAATGTTCAGACGATGAAGCTCAAAGAATTTGCCATGTAAGTTTGCAATCTGAAAATTAATTGGCTGACTTCCTAAAATCAAAACATGATTTTTATTTAAAGATGACAGTGGACAGTTTTAGACACATAAAGATATGAACTTGCACTGCATGGCCAGCGTTCGCTCACATTTGAGTGGTGACGACTAAATACCTACTAAGCAGATTTGGCAGGCATAACCCCAAGGGTTACAGCCCGATAGTCCGAAGGTTCGATAGTCCGAGGGTTCTTTAGTCCGAATGGTCATTAGTCCGAAAGTTCATTTTTCCGAAGGTTCGCTAGTCCGAAGGTTCAATAGTCCAAAGGCTCGATAGTCCGAAGGTTCGATAGTCCGAAGGTTCGATAGTCCGAAGGTTCGAGAGTCCGAAGGTTCGAGAGTCTTAAGTGACCATTCGTCCGAATAAAGAAGAACGTTAAAAAGTCCAAAGGCTCGATAGTCCGTGCTGACCATAGCCCACATGTGGGGTGATTTTCTTTCATGGACATTAGCCCACATGTGAAATTTATAAAATAAAAAACATCACCCCGGATGTGAAATCTTTAGAAAATGGGGTAAAGGGAACACAATGCCATCACCCCACATGTCTCATCCGTCTACAACATGTATACCGAATGGACAATAAGGTCCAGTAGGCCGAATTTACGATAAGGTTCGATAGTCCGAATGGACAACGATGTCATATGGCAGTCGGGAGCTACCACCAATCAATGCAGTAGTATTGAAAGTATCCAGAAAAGGGCTTGTCGAATAATTTTAGGTGGGAACTATCATTCATATGATTCTGCACTTCAACTGCTACATCTTGACTCATTGACCACTAGGAGAGAGTGTCACTGCCTTAGTTTTGCTAAGGATCTTCTGAAGAGTAAGCATTGTAAATCTGTATTCCCTCCATCTAATTTGGCCATCCATGGTAGGAACCTGCGTAACTCTAAGAATATTTCCACTATGCCAGCTTAAATTTGCCGTTTCAAAAATAGCCCAATCCCATACTACGTTGTTATCCCTTGTTCTAGTGTTATTTTCATACATTCCTCATCCTGAATCCCTGACCAATTCTTACGGTGGGAACATTGTGTATTTTAAACTCCTCAATAAAATCACTTTCTGTATTTTAAGTCCTATAATTTATGTGAATTTCAAATGATCTTTTATCTGTAAATCATGTACAATTTGGCCTTCGGGCCACGACACATGTGTTTTAATAAACCAAAAATAATACAATAATAACTGGACGTTATTGTCGATTTGGACTATAGGACATAAAATTATAGTCAATTCGGTTTATTGGACCTTATTTTGAATTCGGAATAATGAACCTTCGGACTATTGTGAACCTTATTTTCGTTTCGGACTATTGAACCTTCGGACTAATTAACCTTATTCTAAATTCGGACTAAACTAAGTCTATTGTATTTGATTATTAAGAAACAGTTGTCTATGCTTACTGCATCCCCTCTCGTCACTCAGTGAGGGGCATTGTGGGATACCGTCACATCGCTGACTTAACGGTAGACAGAGCTCAGAGCCATAGCACGCAAACTCATCCGAACCACACTCTGAGTGGAAATAGAAACAGGTTATCTTCACCTGTACCCCTGCGTAAACTGTTTAAAGCTTACTGAAAGTGAGGTCAAATAATGTGTCAGTGTTGGCAGAATAAGAGAAAATGGTAAAACTAAAGTGCAACACCAATAGTTTCCCTCAGGGAGGCATATTTTCAACGTCAGTGTCACTTCCGCCGATATCGTCATGCACTTAACACTTGACCATCATTGCTTACGTTCAATACCCATACAAACACATGCTTTGAAAGACACTGTAAAATATTGTAAAATATCAACAGTTAAAGAACAAATATAAAACGCTCACATCCTCAAATGGTACAGATGCCGAGTCCGTGTAACCAAACGTTTATTTGTAACGTCACATCAAGTTTTCACCATGCGAATTCGCAAGAGATGAACACGTTTGAAGTCGTGCGAATTTAGCTTTGAATGTGTTCGGGCTTTGTTTTTGCATTCGTGTAAAGTATGGTATGAACCGGCCTCTTGACAAGATACCACCACAAATCTGCGCAATGAGGGATAGCAATTTACTCTCTAAATTTGTACAGTAAAAAGTCACTCCATTCGAGTGAAGATTCACTCCCATAGTCGGAAACTAGGGACTAGACGTTTTAAAGTGAAATTTCTTCAATCGTAAAGATCGAGATTTCACTCGAGCTTCGACTGAAGTGATTTATTTCTCAGACTTTTTCAATCAAAAATGAGAGTGATTTTCACTCTAAAACGTCTAGTCCCTTATTTCACTCTGGAATTTAGAGAGTATGAGCGGCTCCACCTCATTAACTAGTTGACGCTACTGGAGTCGTGCTCGACTCGAGACGTTGTGACTAATTGTTTTATTGCCATCGACGTAGGCTTTCTCCCCGTCGGAAGGGCTCTGATGGTTAGTTTTGGGGTTCATGAAGACAGCAAGAGGCACCTCAGGTCTCAGCAGTGCATGATCATTTAAGCGAAGTCGACTTCCAAAAAGGGTGGTTGTGGCAGGTGCTACGAATATACGAGCGTACAAGTCGACGTTGGATAGCTGTACCGGGAAGTGCCCACCGAGGCAGTAACGTAGGAGAGCGCGGTGGGTAGCGTCAAGATGCCTGGCCATGGTTTTTGGTGATCGCTTGGGCATTACAACCGTACTGTACAGTAGCACTGTCTCAACTGTGGACTTAAACAGCTGTATTTTGGCACTATCGCTGGCTTCTCCGTCCCCCACAGGTGCGAGTTTTCGTGCCGCGACCCACGCCAGCTGTCGTTGTCGCTGAATGGCACTTCTGCTATCTGCCACGCTGCATCCCAGGTAGTAAAAGTCATTGCAGGCTGCAAGGGTGACACCAGCTGTTGCACAATTAGCAGTATGTGGAATGGCCCAAATGTAAATCTTCGTCTTGCTGGCATTTAGGCGAAGCCCGCTTTGGCTGATGCTGCCTCATAGCGATATAGTTAGCGTTGGGCTGCGTCTGCATCATTGGACATCACCGTCCATCGCGCCGATAAACGTCTTCTCACGGTGTATTCATCTTAACCGTAATCAGGCCGGGTTATTTTGACCGTCTCTCAGCCGGGGGGGCGGAATAAGATCTCGGCCACAAATACGAAACATTTTGAAACTCGGTACATGCATAGAGCAACTCGTCATAAACATACCCAAGAAATTTCATGACTATAGGTCAAAGGGTTGTGGAATTATGGATAATTAAATATTCATATGCACGAATGGTAATTCTGCTCTGTGTACACGACGTATGGGAAAATTCAGTTTTCACGGACGTAGCGACGGAAAATTTTTCGCTACGCGGCAACCCCTGGTCGAATTTTTATGTTTTGGTATCAAAAGATGCGCAAGGCTCGAGGCTAAAAAGCTGCCGGTGATCTTATCAATAGCTCGCCAGACTACTTAAATGTGCCCTGCCTCGTGATGTTGTTGGATCTCGTTGGATATTTGATGTACCAGCTCATCCCTTCGTCGCACGTAGGTATTTTCGAGGCTCGCCTCCAACTGTCGGTGATTTGGGTATAATAAAAATACAAAATATAATTATATAATATCTAATTCTTGTATAGCGCCAAATCCGAGTTTGGATTTGTTCGTTATGCAGCCTTTAGTTGATGTCTGGCTCGCTCCACTTCCGTATCTGTATCCCATAAGCAGACCTTCGACAGAGGATGACGCTTAGGTAAAACTTTACCTGCAGCATGTCTAACCGACTCGTCGTAGACCGCGTATCCTGACCTTCGGAAGGTTTTGTATGGCGGGCATTCTTAAAGCAAACCAGAGTGGTGGACGTTCTTTCCGAGTGTGTTTCGTCGGCCTCCATAGTCGAAGACTGAGTGTGCAGGTTAAGATTGTATGATCGGAGTGAACGCAATATGGCTTGATGTTGCGCACCTTGCGTATCACACGTGTCCAGTTCTTGTTCACGAAAATGTAGTCTAGCCGACATTTCCGTTTCCGAGGCCCAAAAGTCGGAAGCTTGGCACGACGTTGTCGCAAAACACCATTACCGCCACTAAGTCACTGCTAACAAAGAAACGGCTTCAGCGTGGGGTGTCATGTGCTCGACGCGAGCTTGATGAGCGTAACTGTTAATGCCGTCAGGCGGAAGATCAGCGTTGAGATCGCAGACGAATGCCGTCATGTCGCGACTCGGATTTGAAGTCAGGTCCCCCCCCCCAACAGTGTCAATACAATCGTTCGTGTCGGCATTTGGCATGTGGCAGTTTATCAGGTGTAGCCGTTTGTTGTGCAGTTGGACGGTCATTGAAATTATTCGATGGTGCAGTGGTTCCATATTTAGCGACGTGCTGTCGACTCTTGGTGAGATCAGAACCCCGTGACCTCCGGCTCGGGCGGTGGCAATGTGTGCTTTCCAACCACCTCCGAAGTTAAGGCATGTCGTAGGTGTGTCCAAGACCCAACGGTGTTCCTGGATCTCAATGATGTCATATTTTGAGTCATACAAAGTTTGATCAGCTCATATAGACGATTGTCTCTTGCGAGAGTTCGGAATTAATGTTCAAATGGTCACAGTCTCACAGATGCAGGGGCAAGTATTGGTGCCTCATTGCCCGAGCTGGCAGGCTCCGGGTCCGTCGGTGTTACAGATTTATCATAGGTTTCATACACATGGTTTTCGAGCATCAGGCTCATGGCATAATCTAAATAGCTCGTAGCTGACTTATATTTTTAGTTTTCAATTGTCTTCGACGATGCTGAGTTATGTTTACCAAAAATAAGTTAAGGAGGTATATCCCCTGCCCTCCCCCCCCCCGGACTTATACTCTTGCCCGCAGCTGAAACTTTAAGCCGCCTGATAAGTATTACAATACTCAGAATTACCGACTCGCATGATAGAACTTTACAGTAACAATCTCAACAGTGCTTCTAAACTAGGTGTACTATACGGAAGACTTACCTATCTCCATGAATGTTCTTAATGTGAAAGCGGCTAACCCCATCTCGTTCTGCACGAATAAACTCGAAATCAAGTGCGCTGTGATCCACAGTGGTTCTCCTGCAATTGGCGTATACACAGAAGGCATAACCCATTTTTCCCTGGAGACCACAAGAAACGTCGCTGACTGATCCACCGTATGATTTTCATGTGTCGTGCCGAACATTAATAAAGCGTCGTTTCCTGGAAATGTGTGGATGATGATTTCAACTCGAGACTCCGGTGGTACGTCGACAAACCACAGACAGTCGGTACTGATTGCCCAGGGGTCGTAAGCTGCATGGATTTGAAACTCACGCCTCCCCACAGGGTCCAAGGAAAGAAGTTGTCGAACGCCACACAGTTCTATGTAATATGGTAAGTATTAATAAACGTTGTAAACACAAATTTCAAACTACCTACTTATGTTGTATGGGTCTCTCTCAAATGACGTCATTTCCCACAGAGCGTTGACCGTCTTTTTATTCTATATCTATGGCGTCGACTTGCATAACGCGCATCAGCTGCGTTGTATTTCGAGCACCAAGCGAGCGTGTTTGGGAACATTTTCAACACTGCGCAATCATAGATATAGAATAAAAAGACATTGCTTGCTTGATTGCGTAAAATACGCAGATACAGTTCCCTAACAGAGATGGTCGTCTTTGAGAGAGGCATATTCACACCTTCGGTATTGATAAGACTAGGCTGATGGTAATAATAATAATTATAATTGGGCTTATATACCGCTTTCCATCATATCAACAATCACAAAGCGCTTTACAATTATTCTATTATTTGCATCATGTGATGCTTCATAATCAAAATACTTTTACAGAAAGAGGGTTGCGAAGCTGTGCGATATGGTCGTTTGCGTCAGCATTAGGGTAGAATAAGTATTTGTGTTTTGCAAGCTATCCAAACATAAACGGGACTTAAAATTCCCATCATTTTAAAATTAAGTGAAAAATACCATGGCTTCCGTTTCCTCGGTGATATCAGAGGTGTTACGCGTAAAAAGGAACCCCAAACGTGACATAGTCAATTGACTGTTTTTATGGTCAGTGCACTTATCTGAAAAACAGTTAATCCAAGAAGCCCCAGATTCATCAACCTTACCGTTTCGCTTAACATCACACCTGCTCTCATCCCAGAAGTCGGGACAATCAAACTGAGCATCACACAAAGCTGACTCTGTAATGCAGACCGTCACATCAGTTTCATTTGAGCAGCTTGTAAATCCAGCAGGGCACAGTCCTTTTTCAAAGTTTTCCAGAAAACGAAGGAATAACCGACAAATCTTATCAATACTTAATGGTGTAAATAACAATGGTCACCGAGCTAAAGACTAAATTTGAAAAGGATCAGAGGCCGGACGGTACTGGTGGAGACTTTAAAATCCTCATTTCATAATGCTTTGTGGTTTAGAAAATTCCTGTAAATAATCACTCACTCTTGAATAGTGTGCACTATTATATGTGCCTTAGAAAACAAATCAGGTTTTAATCATCGTACTATGGACTTTTGCGCTTCAAGTTGTATACGTCTTTAAAAATAAACGACAATTAAATCTCCCGCATTAGATGTTTAATTTAAATGTGTGTGGGTGTTGGTTATAATAGAGTTTAGACATTACAAAAGAAAATGAGTGCAATCTCTGTAAAGAACTTACTCTCCTGGTGCTGGTATATTTTCAATGCAACCTGTGGCTCAAACTGTTCATCTCCTCGGATCCGACTAGAACGCATTAACACCCAGGCCCGCGTTGTTTGGCTTCCCACGTAGATCTTGCCCATATCAACAGTAGAAACGTCGGTAGAGAACAGCACAGTCTCCGTCACCGTCGGATCCGACCCGACCCCGGCCGACAGACGGAACTTCCCGAATGATGGAATTTGCAAATGCAACACCTCAATGAAAATGTACGCGTGCACCTCAGCCACAACATACCAAGAACACTGATAAAATCCACTAAGAAATCTATCATTTGTGAAGTGATCAACGTATACGATCTCATTGAAAGGTAGCGGATACTCTTCCTCACCACACACACGGTCTAGATAGAAAAAAAAATACCAATAACATTATGGTGTGTAGGCCTTTAGTAACCCACGCCGAGTATGTGAAACCAATTGATCAGTGTGAGTCTACAGGATGAGTAAAAAAAAAAAACCAAAATGCCTTGGTGTCCCCTATTTTGGAAGAATGTTTGCATGTAGCACTTTCCAGATCGAGGATATGAGAGCCCAAGTAAAAAAGCTTTTAATAAAAGAATCATTCAAATCGCTCATGTACTTTTCCAGTTATGGAATTTTGATGACAAATATTTTTTTTATAAACCTTGTCAACAGATCACATTAGGTACTTGATACTTCAGTTAAAATGAAACCATGTCGTTTCAGAATAATCCCATAAGTGTCCGGTGTAGCCAAGTAAAAGGCAGGGCAAAACTACAAACACTTGTCATTCTAATGCACGTTATTTTAACATTGAAAGCAGCAGGTTTTTATCATGGTTATGACAGTGTTCTGAAGTGTTTTCTTTTAATGTGAATTGTTTTCGTTTTGCTGAAATATAACTAACCTTTACTGTGATCCGTGGACAAGCTTAAAAAAAAACCCGGTGTTTGCGTTCAAACTTCAATCACTGGAAAAGTACATAAATGATTTGAATGATTCTTTCCTAATAGAAAGCTTATTAGTTGGGCTTTCAACCCCTATCTCAGGAAAGCCCTACATGCAAAACTTCTGTAAAAAAAAAATAATAATAATAAAAAATAGAAGGCACCATTTGGATTTCCTTGTTTTGTTTTGTTTTTGACTCACCCTGTATTAAATATCAAAACTGACCAATCCAAAATTGTGAAACTTATCAAATAGATTCGTTAGCGTGTGTTATCAACACATTTGTTCATGTCAGCCTGTATCTATAGACAAATCCGGAAACGCGATAACTGTTCACTCACGAGGCCCCTTACAATTGAGAAACCATTGCGGACGCTAATGAAACTTCCCCGTGACAGATTGTCTGAGCAATAGCTTGTACAACGCTTTCGCCATTGAAGGATGCCTTCGTGAAAGAAGTGACAGCGTGCCCGGATTGGTCCACGGAAGTGATTTCTTTGTACCGACGCCCAATCCATGGCTTGGAACAAACGACATATTTTGAGGCCAATTGTATGGGGTTTGTATTGGCTGAAAATACGATTGTACCGATTTTGATGATATTATTTAGTATAAAAAAAACCCAGATCAATGCTCTGAAATTGTAAACATTATTTTGATATTTGTTGAGTTCTTGGCTCATTGCATTCTAATAAGAGGACGGTTCTTACATTTTACTGAGGATATATGTAACAGAAACCAACGTGTTTAACCTCAGCGGAAGCACATTGTTACAAGAGTCTAAGTAATAATAAACGTGTACACGTTTCCTCTTAGATTTTCAAAACCGGAAAACCAAGTTCAAGGTACTGCTAAGCAGTAAACATTTGATAGCAAATGTACTTGGTATGTGAAAGGAAATGTCACTTTTTTCCCCAGCAATCTGTCTTTTTTGGGCATTTTTTAACCCTAAAAGGGCCGGGGCGGAATCCTCCCCCCCCCCCTCAACATTTCCGCGATAGCTTTGAAAAAAAAACTAATTTTTCGCGACCCGAGCTGTAATGACTTTTTAGCCTTGAGCCTTGCGCATCTTTTGAAACCAAAAACATAAAAAAATTCCTGGCGCTATGCGCCGTAAAAAATAGATTTTCCCATATACGTCGTATACACAGAGCAGAATTACCATTCATACATATGAATAATTAATTAGCCATAATTCCAAAACCCTTTGACCTATAGTTACGACATTTCTGGGGTATGTTAATAAGGAGTTGCTCTATACATGTACTAAGTTTCAAAATGTTTCGTCACTCGATGGCCGCCCCCCCTCCCCCCCCCCCCCCCCCGGCTGAGAGATGGTCAAAATAATTCGGTCTTTTTAGTGTTAAGGCATTTAATGCTTATGTAGCAGCAAGGTGAATCTGTCCCCAGGATATATAATTAGACTGCACTTACGACAGAAAGACTCATCAAACCCAGGGCAGTCATTTACACCGTCACACAATTCCGTGAAGTCTCTGCATGTGTAGTCGGATGGGCAGAAGAATTGGTCCGCTCTGCAAAAATACGGTGGACCTGGATAGATACCACAATGAAAGAACTTGCTCACATACAATAGGCAGGCACTGATGCTCACGAAAAGTAAACGAACATAGCAAGTGAAATCTGAGTGTGAAATATTAGTAAGGTTTAATTGGAAAAACTACTCCAAGGAATATGTTTCGTTTCTGTTTCATTACCAATCTACATGCCTAGAGCTAATATGTACATTAAACAATTCATGAGTTCATTACGTTATGTTCCTTTTTTTTCCCGCAAACTGAGTTGTCTGAAGAATGGGTGAATTTCATTATACCAACAACCTCGTATAATATATAACTAAAATTGTCCCTGTAAATTACCGCATCCTAGTTCGTCAGAAGCATCCTGACATTCCGCAGTACCCGAGCACCTGGCTCCGTAATCTATGCAAGGATCGAACATGGAATATCTACATGGGAAATCCTCGCCACACCAATGCAGTATCTCTGAAAAGGACACAGAAAAGAAGATATGTGGCACCAATATTAATAATACCAGCACAAATACAATACATGCATTTATAAGGTCATACACGTAAACAAAAACAAAGAGACGAATAAAAAAAAGAAGCTAGATCGGATCTTGAAAGATGCGGGCCAACAAATTCGTGTATTGTTTTGACCTTAATTGGCCCCCATATGTGTCAGATGAAAAGGCCACCATGGATAATTGTTAATGTTTGACCAAGGCCAACATGTTGACAGCGCTACTTTTGTCAATTCAGCTTCTTTGAAATTGGACATCTCTGACCCATAACTGTAGGTCAGCCGAAGAGCTACGTGGCCATTAACATTTATTTTGATGTTTGATCAATTAAGCCAACACGTTGACAGCGCCATTTGAAATTTCACGTTAATTTTACATTGATCCCATGACGACCGTTGACCCAAGTTTGATTATATGACATTTTGGGGCTGGGCCCTTGATACTTTTGACAAAGCTCAGTTGAAATTGGTCAAATATGTAGGAACAATGTCAACGTTTGTTGCTAACTAACTAACGTTCAGACCAACGGAGAGACATGATGATTTGTTGACCTGCTACCTGCAGCAAAGATAAGCGGAAAGTCAACCATCCTTAGGTTCCCTGTAAAACACTTATAATTTTCCCTTTTATCTGTTTGTGTTGCTGGCTGATTGACATGGATGGAAAACGGCAAATTGAAGAATGCGTATTGCCATTACATTTGTTAAATGTTCATATGTAAAAACTCAAACTTGTTCAGTGTCCATTCCATCTACAGTTATTGCCACTGATCGAAAGTTGTACAAAGAAATGTCGTGGTGCATATCCTTACAGGGCCGTAATACCATGGAAGCTAAAACGTTAATCTACGCGCACCAACATCTTCATACTCAGCAACCATGCGGTCAAGGCGTCGTACAACTCGATATGGCGTGGAACCGTATAATACACCCCGAGTAAAGTGTCCACCAACCAACCAACCAACCTACCCACCCACCCAACCACAAACCAACCCACCAACCAACATAAGCAGCTCAAGCCCACGGCGTGTTTTACACCACCGTAGAAAAAATTAAAGCCGAATAAAGTGCGTGTTAATGACTATTAACTTAATAAGTGTACGTTGGTTGTTTGCTATGTTCAGATATTCATTCTATTTTTAAAGATACACTCAACAAAAAACGCCCCCCCCCCCTTCCAATACTTTTTTGTCTAAATCAAAAACTACTGAGCACCCTTGCTCAAATTACAACTAATAAACAGTACAGAAATTCATTAGCAATCTAGCCACACTCTTTATATGGCCAAAAACATTGGTAATGTGTACGGAATCATGCAATTTAGAACATTCCACGTGCAAGTTGTGGTTCACACTCACTTTGCACGTACACTTTAATGAGCTTTTAGGGCGGTGCCTGTTCTTATATCTATACATCATGATGTTAAAAATGATGGCTCTTCGGCTGAGAAAACTGTGAGCTTGATTAAGGACCATTGGTCGACAACATGTTTCGTGACGTAGCTGTGACAACTTGTCACCATGAAACCTCTTGATGCTGGCTCCTTATGTGACTGTTGGTATTTTGGGTTGTATAGTAACCAGCGATTCATTACACTTTGGACTGTTCGCAATTAGTCATTAAGACTAGTCCAACCATTGCTGACTATTTAACCGGCGTTCGATCGGAATGAGCTGAATCAGTGACTATAGATTCCGATTAAACTTGATAAAATAAGGTTTTCCTCTTCGCATGAATTAAGTGCTGAAATTTAGTTAGTGGCTACCTAAAACGGTTGACAAGCGTTACATGGAACATGGACTCATAGCATCCCTTGGCAGGCAAACAAACAAAGAGGTTTAACCTAACAACTAGCATAAAGAACTTTACTATTTATTTAGAACATGTTGGCCTGGAGCTTGCACTCGAGCGAGTAGATAAAAAATACCAAGTACGTGACCAGCTTAAGGCCAAAAAAAGCTCCGGTTTCTGATATTCGCGCGCGTCGCCATAGCCATGCGCGTCGGCAAAATCAAAAAGTGTTTGTTTGTTTTTCAATGTAAGATGATGTCTCGAGACCGCCAAACTCACTGGTTCGACTGGAATCCTGCTGCTGCACAATTTTAACGTGTTTTGTAACGGGATACGAGCGAGTATAAGCTTTCCCTTACGAAAATATCCCATGTAGTCCCCATGGGAATCCCATGGGGACTATATGGTGGTTCATGGGAAAATAAGTTTTCCCATTGGGAATCATATTTACGCCATGGGTTTTATATTTTCCCAGTGGGGAACCATTTTCTTCCCCATGGGGTTTTCTCTTTTTTCCATGGGTGTTTATTTTTTCCCTTACATATTAATATTCTTCTCCATGAGTTTTCTTTTTTACCCATGGGTAACCATATTCTTCCCCACGGGTTTTTCATTTTCCCCATGGGCTTTTTTTCCCCCATAGGTGGCCATATTTTTCCCCATAAGCCTTCTTTTTCCCCATGTGTTTTCTCTTTGCCCAATGGGGAACCATATCCTCCCCATTTGGGAACCATATCCTCCCTAAGTCCCTATGGGGAACCATATCCTCCCAATGGGGAACCATATCATTCTAATGTGGAACCATGTCCTACCCAAGGGGAACCTTATTCTTTTCTCCATGGCTTTCCATTATTTTGGAACCTCACTTTTCCAATCGTGAACCTCAGCCTCCCCAAGGGAATATACACATGTAACTTCCCAGCAGGTCTTCATCATGAGGCAACATTGTAATTGTTATATAAAGCAATATTACAGACTTGTGCCATAATTTATCAACTAAATTGTTATTTTTATTTTGGATAAATGGCTTCTTCTCAAAAATTTGATAAATGGCTTCTTCTTTCACAAATATGAGCAGACACTATTCATATGTTTTGTTCTCAAACGTATTTTATCTGTGCGTCACTTTGCAAATAACCTCCAATATGCACAATACAGAGTCAAAAAAAAAAATTCTTTTAAAATTGGCCATTTTTTTTTGTAGTAATATAGATAAGATATTTTCGAATGTACTTTTTAGAGTAACTCTTCCTGCTTCTTTTGGTGACATTTTCACTGGATTAGTTTTCATGCGTGACTGCACAGGAGACAATTAAAGGGGTCGGGTGAAATCTGACTTGCGCCAACTGGTCAAGGCTGGATAAGACTGAGACAATTAAAAAGAACACAACCAATGTCTTGGATCCGGTCATGGAATGCATGATCAGTTCAGATTTGTGGATCTTGCTTGCAAGAGTTTCAGTAGGCAAATCTGAATGACCTCCAGAAAAGGATAACTCGTGAAATTGACATTCTCAGACAAGACGGGGAGGTGATTCGCCCTGCTGTTGCAGGAATGATGCGCCGAGCCCAGCTTTGTGCATTGTACGATATTGTGGCCATGTTGAGGACTAAGACACCGTAGAATTAAATTGCCTTTTTAATTTAATTTAAATGTTTTAAATAAACACGAAGTTTAAAAGATAATGAAATCCTGTTTTGTCTCTTTGTTAGACAACGGTTGTATTCTTTTAAAGTGTTTCTTTCTTATATAACATTTACGTTGTGTCTTTTGACTGTGTCTGTGTCTTTTGACTGTGTCTGTGTCTTTTGACTCAATTTTCTTTAACCAAAATCGAATTATTATTTCTCTAAACTTCTGCATATGTGCACAATTTCTCGTTGAAATGTAATCTTCACTTTTTAAGTGGTTTATTTAAAGATATAGTCCATCATTTGTAATTTGTGCATTTTGTTCGTTTGAAGCAACAAAAGTGCTCAAAATCTAAAGAAGGGTACTGAACAACTAACTTGATGAAGTTTCAGCTTAGCTTCAGCTGTATATTCCGAGAAAAACAGTATTCTAGGATCTCAATTTCAAATCAAAAGTTGCTGACTCATGTTTTGCATTGGGCCTGAATTTAGCGTCCGAGACACGTTCTCACTGAGCCGACTGCAGCTACGCAATACTTGCGCGCGCTCCCGCCGAATAACAAAACGAACTTCTAATTTAAATTTCCTACGGTGCGTCTTAAGAAGCACCGTTGGAAAAGCCTTCTTTCGTTGAGAAAACAGTGAGTAGCAGTTTCTATTTTATCAGTTATTTTGTGCACGTTCACACCGCATTTCAAAAGTGGCATTTAAAATTTTGGCGGTCTCTAGATATCATTTTCTCGCAGATTAGCAATTCAGATAAAAAATATTTCACAGGGGGTTTGATACAAGTGTCTCCTTTGCAAACAGTAGGCTTTCAGACACTTGTCAAAAGATATTTTGATCATTACCAAAGCCACCTACCCTTAAATTTAAGCATTCTTTGAAAAATTGTGTTTTGATTTACATGTATACATTTTACGAACTGGAAATGTTTACAAGTTAAGAACCCAATCACTCTCAATGGTATTAGGGAATGTATAGATATAGGAGTGTGGGAAAAGTTATCTTTTTTGAATGAATATTGTTCTTAATATCAACAGGTTGACAAACACCGACATCATTAGAAGTACCAGTTACGAGTTTAATATGGGCTGCATTGGCATCTGTTTGTATGTCATTTAGTATGCTTCTGTAAGCGCTTACCGTTAAAGGGAATGTACATCATTGGCTTATACTTTAATTTTCAGAAATGAACTATTTGAGGGGTTAGTATAATAGATCAAATTATTGTTACACTGACATGTTTGAAGTTTTGTTTTCGAAAATGCTGGAAAAACCAAGAAAAACAAAAATTTTCAAGTAGTCTGGTTCCCTGACTCCACTGAAGATGAAATGGATCAATTTACAGATGCCGGAAAATTGTACGCTAAGGGAACCAGTCTAGCTGACCTGCACCCATTCATGAACATAAAACCAATTAGCAAACAAAATTGGACTGAAAAAAAATGGTAAATTTGGAGCAGTAGTAAAAAATAGTTAGGTTTTTCCTACGGTGGTCGGCCGACCACCGTTGGAAATGTAAACAAAAATACAAT